AAGTGTTGGAGAAGGGATCAGTACAAAGAATGCACTGGCTGGTGACCARAACCCCTTTGCTCAAAGGTTGCAGACGGAAAAACTAAGAAAATGAAGAAACAGGTACTGTATATCTGCAGAAGAACCTCATTTGTTTGACAAACTTATCAGAAGCCATGTGGAGCTCTGTACATTCAACATTTAAATTATGAGCCAAAGATTAAACCGGCAACAGACAGAAAGACACACTGATTCCTCATCTACAGCCTCACCATCTTGTTACCTAATGYTAAAGCCAATGTCAATGGCACATTGTACATTTTTTGTGTCTACATAATGATGCAAAAAGGTTTACTTTTGCCAAAATCATTGCAAAATACATAGAAAAGACCTTAAGAGTGGATTAATCTGGTAAGAGTACCAAGCAGAAGAAAATSAACGGACAGACTACCGTCCTGTCCAAAATCTGTGAAGTTCACTTAACCTRGAGTGTTGTTTTGACTCATTCATGCATGATTGAGAAATCCTTGAGGACCTGCCTAAATGCTTGCTGGTACAAAGCATCYCCTATTTACARAAAGGAGCTCCTCCCCCTGAAGTGGGAGTGTTGGAAATGGTAAGAGGTTCTTAAACGGACAGGCTATGACGCAAAGTCAAATTTATTATTGATAGATACAGCCTTTCCAAGCAACTGAAGGTAACACAGTTACTTGATTGTGGTATAGAATTGAACTATGTGCCTGGAAAATACACAATTTAATGCTAGAGTAGTGTAAATAAGTTACAGACATACTGTTCTAAACCCATAGTGTAAGAAACCCAATACAGACATACTTCTTCTTTGTCTTGTTACCATCAATATGAACTGATTGCTGAATGTCTAATTTTATCCACTGATTACAGCAAAATCAAACCAATGAGCCAKAAAACTATGGAGTAGGTGTAAATTTTATAGGAATTCGGAGGAGGCARCTGCAACTGTGATTTGAGAGCCTGTGCTGCTTGTGTATTAATTACACACAAATTATGACAAATATTTTGTTGATAGCAATTTGATTTCAATGTTAATCAGTGTGTGGATTCTGCTATAATCTGCTCACCATCTATTTTTTAATGCAGTCATATTCACAAATGAAAAAAATAACAGAAAACCCAGTATGAACTCTGTGAAGCTCTCCTCATTAAAGCCCCATCAGCAAGTCACATCATTACCTGTTTAGTCCTCTCAATCCGCTCTCCTCCTCTCTCTGTTAGCCAGCCAGCTACCACACACCCCAGAGGATATTCCAATTAGAAACAACACACGGAGATGCGCAAATGTGCACTGGTGGATATCCCAATTAAATCCAATGCACGGCTCCAACACTTTAATGCAGAAACACATGAAGTAGCTGGTGGACATGCTAATTAGCAAAGCAAACATGGCATGGCTGCTGTTCTGTATATTCAACGAGATGTGGCAAATACTGCACACACACTGATGACTTAACACATCCTACAGCCATATTGCATGAACATCTATAAAACAGTGTAGAACGTGAGAGGCTCGCTCTGTCCTGTCATTCACACTCAGTGGCTTAAAGGTTAAAAAAAAAAGCTGCCAATGGCGATGAGATGACCTGTTTGACACCATTACCTGGATGAAGCTTTCATGTGTGGAACACAAACAAAAGTCATCATTATCACCTTAAACTCATCAGACTTTATCATGCGGCTCTGATAATATAAAAAAAACAGTCATTTTAGGAGGGGAAAACCTAAATAACTTAAATCTTACTGCTTTAACACGTCACTCTCCTCAACCCTTCCCTCTGTCAGCAGGGGAAAAAAACGCTGTAGTTTCTTGCAGAAAAGAAATCGAACAAGTAAAAGAAATACTACGCAATAGCCAGGATTATGATGACTTTGATGTGAGCTTTTTGCCATGCAACTGAGGCTGGCACCCTTATTGAAAAGAAAACAGGCTCAGACATAGGGAAAGGCAGAAATGAAAATTGRCTGACTGACACTCAGAACAGGTCCTGATAACGGTCCACTGCCTTCGGAGGAAGAGGAAGCACTCAGTTGAAAAGTCTGTAATGGTTTACATTTTTGTTTCCCACTGCTGAAGGTGAAACAATAATGTTTTTGCCCATGTCTGACTGTCTGTGACATTGTTTTTTTATACAGTACTATTAGCAAAATATCTTGTGTCTCACTGAATAGATTAAACTTATTGAAAATAATTCAATGATCATTTACAAACTTAAKTTAAGATGAAGGCCACATGAAAGGGATTTTAGCTAACACAAATATCTAAGATTCTTTTACTTACATTTAAAGTTTTAAATMATCTGGCACCCATTTATTTATTGGCCCTGTTGCACTTTTATACCCCACACAAAGAAGTGAGATCTTCTAATCAGATGCTTTTAGTGTAGGCAAAGTCAAAACTAAAGCATAGAGGGGAACAGGCTTTTGCTGTGGCGGCCCCCCAGACTCTGGAACAACTTTCCTCTTGAGATTCGTACTGCAGAGTCTGTTCAGTCTTTTAAATCCAGCTTAAAAACTCAATTTTTTTACACTGGCTTTCAACTCAAGCTCAGTTTGAGCTACCTCAGGAATTTGTAATTTGTGTCTTTTTATTTGTTTTTAACTTATTAGTTTTATTGTATTGTGTCCGTGAAGCACTTTGGTCAACACTGTTGTTTTTAAATGTGCTATATAAATAAAGTGACGATGATGATATCTATAACACAGCTAATTTTACAGATAATGAGCTAAATTTGGTGTGGTTGTAGCTGAGCATCATCCCCATCTTAGACTTTGAGTGCAACACATTTCTTAAATCATTAGAGTTAATTTTTCAGGTCAGCCCTGTGTGTTTGTTTGCAGATCTTTCCTGAAACTCTCAGGAAGTCATTGGCTCCAAATCTACAACCATTTTATTTTTGGAATCAACCTCCATAGCAAACACAAGAACGGCTATATCTCAGTGAGTTTAACTGATTTAAGTTAAAATGTGGTGTAGCAGTAGCTGAGAGTCATCTAAAATACACCATCTATGCACTACCAGATCATGTGAGATACCTCAGATTGCACCATTTTTCAAGGTTTAACCAAAATGACTTTAACTTTGCCACTTCACAACATAAGACAGTATAGATTACATTTAAAATTGCATTTATCTCAACACACATATGGATACCTGCCATAAAACAAAGATACTACTGAATGCAGCCACATTTCCCAAACAGCTTTGGATTTAACTTGGTGTGTGTGATGACAATAAGACATGAGGTCTTTGAAACATAGTAACATAAGTTCATACCCATGCCTGTGTATTGGTTTACTCTATCTGCATTTACTGTATAAAAGCAGACGTGTTCAGCATTGACACGTATAAAAAATGACACCAGCAATCAATAATKTGCCATGAATCTCATAAGTATGTGAAGTGTTTTCATTGTTAAAACCAGAGCAGTCACACCATCAAGAAATGAAATCAATAACTCACTGCAGCATTAAATTTGGTGGCACACAATAGCTCGCTCTGTGTGGTGTTATGAATCAGATTAGCTTTATTGACATTCGTGTGCACCTGAAACTATGTTACTAAAGTGTTGAAGTGAAAGGACACCTTCTTGTAGGGTGTGAGACTGTCGCGCAATACCTGAACACATGAGAAATCACTAGAATCTAATACATGCCGGAACTGCAGAGAGCGTCACGGGGTTTTTATTTTTATTTATTTTTCTGGCTGTTACTTCAAGTGTAATAGGATCTATTAAAAACATCTTGTTAAAGTACGTATAAACTCAAGGACAAATTTTTTGAGAGTCTCATTAAAATCTGTCTACAATGGCACCGAAAATCAACATTGTGATTCACAACTCCTCCTCCTGGTCGCTGATTGGCCTAGTTGAAATTCTATGGAAGAAATCCCAGACGAAGCAGAGAAGGGAAACTAGAATTGAGCAGAACTGTGTAAGAAGGCAAGGAGTTTTTTTTTTTTCTTGTTGCTATGGTCACTTAGCTTTGGCAGCTAACTTGTATTGGATTAACAGCTGTAGATGTGCATCCAGTGATTASTTTCTAAAAGTTCATTAAATTCATCAATGGGTTTATGAGATAATTTGCTGCTTAATTTAGAGACAATGAGCAAACACACAGACATAGAGACAAAAACATAATCGCCTTTTTACCTTTGGCAGTGGGCGTTAAAGTCTTCCATCTGCAGCCCATTAGATTTTAGAGAAGAAGCATAAAAAACTTCTTGCTTCTATTAAAACTTTTCATGCACCATATACCCAAGTTTACTTCTGATTTACAGACACAAGTAGTAAGAATCACTGCATAAAGCAAACATAAACTTTGTCTTTGTTTATAATAAAATCATAAAAGCTCAAATTTTGTAATTGTTGAGTTGTTTTAGTTTGTTTCATTAATAAAAACAACACAATAAAGTAGCAGCAGCCAATATTGTATGGTAATATAAAGAAAGCCTATTAATCTTTGGATGTATGGAGGCATCAATGCACCTTTCTTGATAACATTTTACTCCAATCCTTAAATCCAAGAATTAACTAAAAGCAGAAAGAAGACATCTTCACTACAATCCATTGGATCAATTATTCAGCAGTCAGAAAATCCTTTTGTACTCACAGGAGATGCTGAACAGTCAATAGTAAAGCTACAGTTGAAAAACATCTACAGTACACCTAACGGCAGGAGATGTGATTTGTATCTCTAAAAGTTTGAAACATGATAAAAAAAAAACAATGTTACAGCTGCCATACGTTAATGTCTGACTCAACAAAAGACAACATCCTGAATCAGGAAATCAGCCATAACACTTTAAAACCACTAATCAATGCTTTGTTTCGACTCATCACAATGCAATGCTCTGCTCGTCTCCACACAGTCATGCAAATGTTACTTTGTCTTGTACCCAAATAAGATTGTGAAAGTTCTTATAACAAGCAAAATTTGGTATAGAAATGCCGACTGTGGTAAGGTTGAATCAAAACACAGCTACTCACTCTTTCTGCAGACTGCGAAGTTCCAAAAAAGATGGGGATAAATGCCAGCCAGATGATGCAGGTGGTGTACATGGTAAATCCAATGGGCTTGGCTTCGTTGAACGTTTCAGGCACACCTCGTGTCTTGATGGCATACACCGTGCATGTCACCATGAGCAAGATGGAGTAACCCAGGGAGCAGATGAGAGACAGGTCCGAGATGTCACACTTGAGGACTCCTCGAGCTGCCTTGGGGTCCTGGGTCCGCTGCTCGCCATAGTCCACTACAGTGTGTGGGGGGTCCACTGTGAACCAGACGAAGACGCCAAGCAGCTGAACAGAGATCAGGGAGAAAGTGATGACGAGCTGGGAGGCTGGAGAGATAAACCTGCAGAGACAAGGATATAAAAAAATGATATAGCATGACAAATAGGTGCTAAAAGCTCATCARTGAGAAACATCATTTTTAACATATGGAATAAACCATATAGAAATCTAAATGATGCTCCCTTGAAGACTTACACAGACAGACTGTAATTACCAACAAGTTAAACTGCAGTATATGGGGTGCAAGTTTGTAAAGTTACACAGTCAAAAATTACCACCAATACTTTTGTTTTATTTAGCCTTTTATAAGAAAAAAAGAACAGATTTATTTTTCAAAGTCAGTTTATCACCATGTGATTCATACATTTATAAATGTCATAGTTTATAAA